TCGTAAAATACTGGTATTGTATCGCGTGATTCAGCGACGCCATATGTCCAACTGTTGCAGTTTCTTCACTAGAACATCTTGTTCACCTGATGGTGAGTAATCAATGTCGCCAATTCTTCGATTAAGCTTTTCAAGTGGGTCAAGTTGTAACGTTTTAAGCTAGGTTAAGGTAACTTATGGTTTATATTCTGTGCTATTTGGAACCTAGGAATAGGTACACCAGGTACCTTTAAATTTTGAGTCGAACTCTTTTGAAAAGAGTACAGAGAAGATTCGAAGTGAATTAGATGAATTTAAGATTACTTATACAATGTAGGTACACTTGTACGCTGTTACAAGTATGATAAAGTGTGTAAGAAGTCAGTTACACATCATGCTGACATTAATGTAATATAAATGTGAAAGTTTGTGTGTTTGTTTGTTACTCAATCACTTCAAAACCGCTGAAGGGATTGGGATGAAATTTGGAACAGACACAGACTATGGTCTGTAAACTTTTTCTTCTAAGGAAACGCGGGCAAAGCCGCGGGCAGAAGCTAGTGCTAATATACATATTTGTACAAGTAAGTACCCCGCGAGTCGCGCATGACGTCACTAGCTCGGCACCGGACGCCCACATCCTGGCACGCCGTGCTGTACTCGCAGGCTACGCTGCGCTGGTAGCATGGCATCTCAATATCAATGGACTGCATGTTTGTTGCGGTAGCTGAGCAACCGGAATGGCAGACTGTGTGACCAATGATAATTAGAACGAAAACCAACTTTAAGTAACGTGGGAAAAGAGCAGGGAGGAGTCAGGAGTTCCGATTATGTGTCGTCGTTGTGAGGCCAGATCGTAGATTTCACAAATTTGTCATCGACGTTTAACCGAATCGTATAATAATATAGTCCGGTCAATTTAGACCAAAAAATGAGAGTCAAGTTACATAAAGTCCCAACAAGCTGAATTTCTGTGAAGTTGTTCAAAACAAAATAATAAACAATGTCTAGAAGTTCCCCATCATTCCCCTGTAAGGAAAACATTTAATTCAAGGTCAAAGGTCAAAAAAATGAGTTTTTCGCGATTTTCAGCAAAACGGTAAGTTTTATCATAAAAGTACCTCAGACAAATATTGTAGATCATAAAATTATCCATAAAAATGTATCAATACTTTTTTCTTACGAGCCACCGTTTCTGAGATATAACGATTCAAAAAATATAAAAGTTGTTATCGTCATAATATACACACGTTTCCACGCCACCTATGAGATAGTGTACTTAGCGCATTTTTTTAACGTGGTTTCCCCAGTACTACTCCACGGGTCAGTTGTGATCCTGTTTAATGTAAAACTATTGCAAAATAACGGAAATTTTCGAAGATTGGGAAAGATAAAAGCGATGTAAATGAAAAAAAAGTGTTGCAGTTTATTCGTCTTATTTGTCTTATTCGTAAGTTTCAAATTCTTGGTCCTCTTCTTGATCTTCTTCTTGTTCCTATTCTCCTGCTTCTTCTCCATCTTCATTTTGGATGCAAGTAAATCGCGTCAATAGCGATGTATCGCATGATACTTCGTCGGAGTCAAACGAATCCTCCATAGTTTCTGATTCAATATTAGAGCGGTCGTGCTCTAATATTGAATCACAAACAATGGAGTCTTGACAATTTGTGCATGCCAAAGAACAAGACAGTCCGACTTTTTTGCAACCACATTTAGCACTGCATCCCTTTTTGCAGTTGCAAAAAATAGTGTTCAGCAGTTTTTCCGGCGCAGGTGGAAGTAAAGTTTGAACTGGCTCTAATATATTGTTGACCAACTTCCAACCCCAGTCTGTAGGGTCTAGTTGATAACCAAGCCGCACTTGAACTTGGTAATATACTAGAAAAAGATATTGGTGAGCAGCAACTGAGGTTGGAGGAAGACAAGCTAATTGAATTTGTTTTTTTTTTCCTTTTTTTATCTTTCCCAATCTTTGATAATTTCCGTTATTTTGCAATAGTTTTACATTAAACAGGATCACAACTGACCCGTGGAGTAGTACTGGGGAAACCACGTTAAAAAAAATGCGCTAAGTACACTATCTCATAGGTGGCGTGGAAACGTGTGCATATTGTGACGAAAACAACTTTTATATTTTTTTGAATCGTTATATATCAAAAACGATGGCTCGTAAGAAAAAAGTATTGATACATTTTTATGGATAATTTTATGATCTACAATATTTGTCTGAGGTACTTTTATGATAAAACTTACCGTTTTGCTGAAAATCGCGAAAAACTCATTTTTTTGACCTTTGACCTTGAATTAATTTTTTTCCTTACAGGGGAATAATGGGGAACTTCTAGACATTGTTTATTATTATGTTTTGAACAACTTCACAGAAATTCAGCTTGTTGGGACTTTATGTAACTTCCCATGTCTAAATTGACCGGACTAAATAGGTTTATTCTACTTTTGTGGTCAGGGAGCCATCAAGTCCGTTTGTTAAGTACCTGGAAATTATTATTTCATTCAAGTCACCTTTACAGTTATGTTTCACCCCGAAACATAGCTACAGCTATGACCCACGACAAAAACGTATCTGATACATGTGAAAAGGGGCCTTTTTTCAGCAGTAGGTACCTACCTACGGGCTGTTGATGATTGTTTAGCAATTGCTCGGTAAATGTAAGGATGCTCTAAGTACTGTAGTGTGTATGTGTAGGTAAGACTCGCTCGACTTGACATTACAATATACTGCATTGAATAAGTACCTACTTACTTAACTCCTTTGTTTTCGAAGTGAAAATATTTAAACAAGTTATTTCGCTTTAAATAGGTAGTCAAATAATTGTTACACAACTAGATAAGTGTAAAGGTAATTATTCAGCCAGGTTGAGGTACCTCCCAACAAACAAGTTTCATTAGTACTATGAATATCAACGAGTTTCGGAGGCATCGCTGTGTAATTGTAGCAAATTAAACAGTTATAAATAAATTAAGAGCAGTTAGCGGCGACCGCAGCCCGCCACCGCGGCGTTATCGCGGCACTGACAACCGCGCCACCGACCCAGCGCCAGCGCAGGCCGCGCCGGGCGCCCGTGCAGGGGTTGCAAACGAGCTATTGCTACACGACCGTCACTTTTACAAGAGAAACAACGTATTGCACACACTCTGTGGAGTTTTCCGTTGAGTGTCTGGCGATGTGTTCGGTGGTGTGACGCGGGGCACGTCGGAATGCTGGCTCGTGTCGCAAGCGGCGCGCGCGCACGTACCGCGCACGTGCCCCGGACGTGCCGACACCCTCAGCGCTGCGCAATAGCTGGACTGCCCACACGCCGCCACTCATTAGCTCATGCAACTTGGTGTTCCGCAGCACTAACAGCATCGCGGCATGTTTGTACTTATGCGAGACAGTGTCATTGGTCAGAGGAGCCGAGCCGCGACCGCGACTGCCGAGGGATATACATATATCTGATACATTTTCTAAATTTCCTTGGGCACGGAGTCTTTATGAACTAAGTAGGTAGGTTACACTACTATCGATAGTACAAAGATAACGAACTATCTTATAGTAGGTAGCCAGAGACCTCCGTATCCTAAGTACCTACGCATGCGACCCTAGAGGCATTAAGAAATTGTTTAATTGTATAATCATTTTCGGGAAACTCTCTGAAAATGATGATGCAATTACTTAAATGCTCTTTGAGCTGGAACTCCGGCGACCTTTTTAATCTACCGCAGCTTCGTATCAGCCCTACTGGGCCTCATCTGTGGTGGTCTGATGGCACTTTGAGGCGCGCGTGGAAGACGACGCGCTGTACGCTCGGGTCTGGGTGCTTACTCTCAAGCGAACTCTACGAAACCAATCTCAATGTCAATGCAATTTCCATCCAATAAAATCTCAATAATTATTCAATTTCAAAACTATACAACCCCTTTCGCAGATGTTAAAATAGCATTTAGAGTACGGGATATAAATCCAAACTCAATACCATTGAGTTCATTAATTATCCAGGCAATACGGATACACTGGCTTCTAGTATTGCAACTCAAGAGTACGAAATTTCACAATACCAATTTCGACCAATCGGAATTGGATTCAAGCCTCCTGGTTCTGGTGACAACTTACTGTAACTACACCGACTGACTAATAAGGACTGTAAGAGTTGGCGGTGAACGAGACACGGGGGAGAAGACTACTTGGATTGGTGACTGGACTTGACGAGAAGTATACAGTGAACACAATCAACAGCTTACTAATTAGGTACCTCGAGTGTACCAGCCAACGACATTAACAACTTAACTAACAACGACGTGACAACATCACACGTACACGTTAACCCGCCACTGCATGGCTTACATTATGACACTGTTTCCACCGATGATGTAAGTACAAGACGGTACTGGTGGTGCCCTAGGTGTGAGACACACAGACACTACAGTACGCCAACAGCTTCACGTAGCTGTCCGAGCTGGACGTATCTCATTGGTACATTTTCTTTGATCGCTTTCGTCCAATTATCACTGCTTGCAAATACTGTTGCTGGCAACAGATTAACATAACGCGTGGGGCAGAGTGGAATGTTGTAGGTACTTATATTTATTTATGTAAGCCTACGCACGTACACGTATGTATAGTTCCATTCAGAGATTGTGCCAGATTACAAGTGTGTGGAATAGTATTCAGTATCTAAGATGAATTATATTTATAGTGTACGTTATTTACTACACACATTAATACCCCTACCTATCTACACGTTCATAATTCTTGCCATTTTAAATACTGAAATTACCCTGAAATATTCAATACGTTGTGTACAAATTATAAGCATTTGAGTATACGTACTTACGGTATTATGATCGCATATAGCTAGGTACCTAACTACTAAGTTGTAAATAAAACTAAAAATAGGATGCGACCGAGGTGAGGTTCGACAAACGACGTCACGTAATGTGTAATACAATTAGTGGTGGTCCGAGTGAGTGATGCGATGGAGTGAGTGGTGAGTGCAGTAATATAATATGGTGCAAGTACTCACCCGTCGACGTGATGGTGGTGGTCGTGGGAGTAGGCCGGCGGCGCGGGCGCGGGCGTGTAGGGCTCGTAGTGCGCGCGGAAGTCGTCGCGGCGCTCGGGCGAGGGGCTGAGGTCGGGGCTGCTGCGGCGCAGGTAGACGCCGTCCGTGGAGCCGGGCGCGGCCGGTGTGCCGGGCTTGAACACCTCCTCGAGGTGCGCGTAGGCCTGCATGTCGCGCGCGTGTGCCGCGGCCGGCCGCAGCTCCTGGTAGCTGCGCGAGTGGGACGGCGACAGCGCGCCGTGGGCGTAGCCGAACGCTGGCAGGGGGGGCGGGCTCTCCGCGTCGCCGCCGCTGCCCTCCGCGCCGCACTCCGCCTCGCCTTCTGCGCACACGCACACCTCGTTACTCGCTAGTCGCTACTATTCACACATGCGCAGAGTACTGTGATCCGATTGGCGCTCACTGACACCACCGCTTTATTTGTGATCATCCGAATAGATAGAAAGCATCAGGGGCCCGCCAGTCGCCCGCCCCGCGCCGCTACTCGCGCGGTAGTCACAGTTCCCAATGTACTGTACACTGCATTACTGACTGACTGACTGCTGATGGACGACTGGTGGCGCTGGCGCTTATTACTAACTTGCGAGCCGTAACTGTACTGCCCGACACTGAAGTGGTCGCACACAATGCTATTGTGTCAGTACCTACTTATATCGTAGCAGCATTGAAGTAATAATAAACTTGTACGTAAGTAAATGTATGTTGTCCGTCCCGACATTGACATGTTGGTGGTATGTGGGTGTAGAGGACCACAGTATTTACCTTCACTACGCATGAACAAAATATCATATTTTCCAAGTATGCATATTCGTTATTTATTATGTTTTCGTATATAATTAATATGTCTCACGAAAGTTCTAATATAAACATATGCACATTCGAGTATCTTATATTAAGCTGAAATATAATATCAATACGCACGTGAAGGCAACGTAACAACGTTTGGTTTTATAGTATCTAAATAATTACTTAAGTAGAATTAATCCTCCATTGTAACTGAAATGTTTAAAATAACAATAACAATATCAACAGATACAATAACACAGGCAGTGTAAGTGATGTGACTTCAGTCTAAACGTAACCCAAGAGAATAGTACTTACTTATTAACTAACGACTTCGACATTATTTCCATTAATATAACCATAACTCAATTATACATAATAATTGTGTACATTATTGTAGTAAAAGTAAACTTGGCTGGTACAGGACTATTCACGATCACGACGATACGAGCACCTCACGACACGACGCACTCATGCATCGTTTGCACCAATATTTACCGAGGTGCCGTCTGGCCTTTTCAGTCTTCACCTTTGTACGGTTTACGTACACTAATTATGTTAATTAAACTTATTTTATTATGATGACTATAAAATTGGACGATATTCCGTCGCGGCATTCAATTGTAGACCAGTGTGCACTTCAACTCGCTACCGAACGTACCACTGTGAGAATCACCTAACAATCTTACTTTTAACCTTTAAAAATAAACTTTTCGGGACTTCTAGAAGTGTTTACACTCACAACTTCAAACTTAACTATCTACGAGTACTTTACTCCATAACAATTAACTATAAAAAGTAGTGTACAGTTCACTACACTGTACATTAAATGGCCCTTCGAGCCGGATGCGAAGTGAATTTTGTGTCTTATAAAGTGTGATAGCGAATCGGTTTGGCTGGCCTCCCACAAGCGGGTCTCACCAGTCCAGATTGAGAATCGAGTGTCATCACGAAGGCACAGAGTTACTGAGCATCAGCGATCTTCAAATTTCGTCGGAACTAGCGGACAAGACGAGTTACTAGGAAACATTGAGAGGAGTCAATAGACTCCTTATTGAAGAATCGCGAGTGACAATCACAGCTCAAACGTGCAGGTATTTAAGAGTAAACTTAATTCAAAACGTGAAACCAACAAAAGTAGGCACTGCAGTACACCGTACACCACCGTACACCAGACGAGGCGGGCGCACACAACCACACTGTAACCCGCCGCCGGGCGCTCCTCGCAAGCACAGCCTCACCTTTCGAACAGGTGTTGTTTACTTCGGCGAACAGCGCGTCCAGCTCGAAGGACTCCGTCTTGTGCCAGCCCGCTGGCCACGACTCGTGCAGCATGCTGTGCGCGCTGTGTGCGCTGTGTGTCACTCACGCTGTCACTGCGGGACTACTGGCCGCGGCGCTCGCACTGCGCAGACTGCCGCCGCCGGCCGCCGCCCGACGCTGCGCACGCGCATCATCCCCGCCACGCGCGCACACCCCGAGCCCGCCCCTTTATTCACTTACATTTTTTTAACCGACTTCAAAAAAGGAGGAGGTTATACGTTCGGCCGGTATGTTGCTTTTTTCTGTTTTTGACTATTTTTGAAATTGGGAGGGAGTTTCCTCTAAGTAGGAGACGGAGAGTTATTTATTGTAAACACACTCACGACATGAGAGAGAACCGAAGGGTGTAGCAACGAGATTTACTTTAAAAGTAAAATTGAACTACAGCCAACGAAATGTATTTTGTTGCCTATCTTTGCGTGAATAAATCTAGTCACAAAATTGATTGTAACATTTTTATATTTCTAACGACTTTAATTTAATGTTATTAATATTTTACGGATCCACGACGCGACGTCCCACTATTGTAGCTTGTGTCGCTATTCCACAGCCATTTCGTAGAAGTGAATAAAATTAGCACACAATGTAAATAGTAATATTTATTACCAGCTCATTAGCAGCATTGAAGAATGTAACTATTGCAATATAATTTACGGTTACCACAGCTGACATTAGCGGTTTGTGAAACGGAATCAATAAAGGTTCGATGATGTTGATGATAGCGCGCGGGTGTGCTCGGGTGCAGGCGGCGAGGTGCGCGCGAGGCGCGGGCGCAGGTTGTGTACGCGATCAGCTGTGCGCGTGCGCGGCGCGGGAGATAAGCCGCTATCAGCACGTGCGCCGCCGCCTCCGCGTCTTATCACACAACATCTCCCGACCTACGCTACCACCGAGCCGGCCAGTCCGCGCCACACCTGGGCCCGGCACTACGTGCGCGCTCTCTCGCTCGCCGCTACACACGCCAGAGATGCGCTCCTCCGGGAACATGTGCACGGCTGGCGGTCACAAATCATCCGGTTGTCGTCTCCCGGGAATCAATAAATATCGTATTAGCAGTAAAGTGCTGTAAATTGCTGAGCTGACAGCTTTTTATAACTCCAAGTTTCCGCGAACACATGCAACGTGTAAAAAATTGTTGTGACATGTCTGTCCCGGGCACCCCGGCACCCCGGGGCGCCGCGCGCCGCGCTAACATAAATATACGACTCGTAACGAGCCATCATCGTTAACTGATTGCTGCAGCGCTAGTAGTGGCCGGCCGCGGGGAGCATTGTTGTTAAACATTATCTGCCCTATACAAACACACGACCACAACACATGTCACTGCTGGCTCATGCTGGCTCGGTCCACGGACCGTTGCCAAGTACAGCGCGGTCGCAGGTACCGTTGTTTGTGCCATCGTAATAAGAGACGAGTCTAGAGCTTTACATCGTGTTATTACTGACAATTATATAAATAAAAAGTAATAGCACTTATAGTTTTCACTCGGTTGATCGACAGCTTAGTCCTGGCAAGAACTCAATCGGGGAGACATTAGGTATCAGTAAGTATATCACACCAATTCTTCCAACAGCAATAGAAAGAATTTTTGCTTCTGTCCTTATGCCATGTTATAAGATACATAAGTTAAGCCATGGCTGCACTGGTACGCAGTGAGTAGGTACTGTAACAATAGCTACACAATGATATACCTCGGAGCGCCCTGACGCATACTGACAAACTGACAGCAACCTACAGTCAGCATTAATACATCTCTCTCCGGTCGTGTCGGCCTGTCCTCCGATGGGGTGCGGAGAGTGAGGGAACAGAGAGTGCACTGTGTTTGCGCACACACTTGTGCACTATCATATTGATACCTCCTGCGTAGTGGGCTGCTCTGGTTAGACAGACTGGCCACCATGATCGAAATCGATCGGCAGATTTATTAATAGATATTTTAGCTATGTCACGTATATTTGTAGCAATGTTGCACGGATGGTGCGGTGGCCGGGCAACCGGCTACCTTCATGTATTTATATTGGTTGGTAGGTGTTTGTGAGGTAGGAAACTCATCAAATGACTCCACTTACCCCGGGCGGGAAGGAGTATAACTTACTGATTTAATTTGACACCCCCGTTCCGACTCCGCGCTATAGGTACGCTACGGTACATGCCGTATATGGTTGGCATCGCCCGCCACCCCGGTGTGGATGCTAGGAGTGTTAAATACAATTTATACATCACAGTATGACTTTTGTACACAACTGCTAAATTTTTGAGTTCTGTATTTATATTGCTGATGATGATGATGATGAAAGAAAACTGACATAACAAAAATATTTAAGAATCGTTTCCCTATCGGCTAATCCCTGGCCGGATATTATTATTTATTTAAACCTTTATTATCAGGCAACTATGGCCCATAGATAATTATGTCCCTTACAGACATGCATAAACAAACATAATACTCATACAGTTGATGTCAGTCAACTGACCTGTGTTAGTAGCGCTTCACTTTGCACTACAAATGCCACCAAATTGCTGTAGCTAAGTATCGATACATTTTTAATTTAATATCGTTCACTGACCAGCGCTGAACAAACTACGCTGAACAATTAATGAGTAGGTGCATTCGTTCAGTTACTTTAGTACTACTAACTCCCGCAGGGTTGGGGCATGCAGCAATAGATAAGTCAATTGTTGGGATTTTTTTACATAATATGTGAGTCACTAATTTCGATATTTTCGAACTAGAAATATGTTAGAATTCTTTTTTTTTTATTTTTTATTTCATGTCAATTTTACAAAATATGCGAGTTTATAGATTGTATGGTCAGTTAGTTTGTCAGTATCTGCGAACGAGCTAATACAATCCTACTTAAGATGTGACTCAGAGGTAGTGCTTCCTAGTTAGGTACTAGAGGTAGGTATTTAGACATAGGTAGTAGTAATGACACACGAGTCAGTCCCAGGCGGCCACAATTTAGGTGCCTGTAGGTAAAGATTACGTTAATGAGGTAGTTACTGAGGTCGGGCGCGTATTGTCCGCGCGGCGCCGCGCCGCCCGCTTCCTGGAAGGCCGTGGGAGCCGCTACTCACTACCACTAACGTAACCCATCAAAGTATACAAAATGTTTGCCAAGACGAGACCCAGCGGCGCCGGTAGGGTATGGTACCATATGGTATTACTCAGATACACTGACACAAAGTCATCATGTCCTCCTGCTGAGTTCCTCA